TTATTTATTACTTCCTTAATTCACGCAACTTGTACATTGTAGTTCAAACAGCCGTCAGGTAGTATATTTTGAGTTTATGTTAGTATATATTAAGTGTATGTTACAATATTATAATTCACGCAACCGCCAGGTGTTATATTTTGAGTTTATGTTATGTTATATTTTGAGTTTATGTTAGTACATATTCAGTATATGTGCAATAAAAAACAAGTCTTCCACAAAAAATATTATATATATATATTTTTACTTTTATACATAAAAGTATATAGAAACACCAAAAATTCCGAAATTTTGGGGGGGAATTTCCGCCGAACATACACCAAAAATATACTTCAAATATACTAAAAATGTGTAACATGTGCAGAAAGTCAGTGACAAAAGTGTATATCAAAGAAAGAGAAAAGATACTTCGGATAGAGAGAAAAGTTACATCGATAATACCCATCAGATAACCTGAAAAAAAGTTACTTCGGATATACTCGGATATACCCAACATATAACACAAGAAAAAAAAAAGAATTATTAAAACAGATAACCAGAGAAAAGTTACTTCAAATATACTCGGATATACCCAACATATACCCAACTCGGTTTTGTAAAAATACCTTTGAATTATAATCAAATCATACAAAAAAAAAAGAAAGAAAAAAGGGGCAAATTCTAGGGAACACGGGACGGATTCTCTTGTCATCCACTCAAGCAGGAGGGTAAACTCGCCGGTGCTGCGCGAACTAGGAATCGCCGGAGGAGGGGCGCGTCGGGGGTGGCTGTTCGCGGGCGGAGGGCAATCGAAATTCGGTAGATCTAATAACTGGTGAAACGTCGCCACCATCCGCCGGATTTTTCGTTGAGGAGGAGGGATTTTGGTTTTTGCCATTGAAGGGAATTTTGAGATCTGCGAAACTGTTGAGCGGTTTGAGAAGATGAAGGGATACGTGTGTTGGTGGGGATGACTACCTTTACCTTTTAGTTCCACTTTTTTTGGTAAATGGATATTTATTTTGACTTAAGTATATCATTACCATTATTAAAAATGTTAATAACGGTTAATAAGGTTTTTACGCATAATTGAAATTTTTTATGTGGTTTAGGTGATTTTAAAAAAAAAAATAAAAGGGATACAAAAGTGATAAATAGTTTAAACATGACAGTATGACATGCAATTTCCTCTATAAACAATCACCCCCTAGATAAATCGAACCAACCATTCGAATGGCAAAATGTGGCTGCATGTTACTTATGTACCTTTTATAATTTTCAAAGCTGATTGACCTTGGATTCCCTTTGTCCATACCCAAAACCCAAACTAAAGGTATATATGCTCATTTCTTAATGGCTGTGGTTAATATTTGAGCAGACAATGGGAATATATGGACTTCATTTCGGGCAGATCTGCTATACGCCAGTATAGCCCGGGATGGAAAAGAAAAATGGATTATCCAATACATTATTGGCCCAATAATACTGGGCCGGAATTTTAGCCCACATAAATATTTCCGTACTCGAGAGCAAAAGAATCAAGGGGTTTAGGCCCTTAGGGCTTTGACTTTGCTAATTATATATAAATCGTAAATGGCCATGGAAGCCATAGCTGGAAAAGGTACAGTGAAGAGTGAGTCCTCTCTGAGTCAAGAGCGTATCCATAGCTTTTAAACACAAAAGCTCCATTTTATTCTCCTCATAGCAAAAAAAGTCCCCACAAAACACAAATTGAAAAAGGAGAATAATGAAATACGTTTTGGTCACCGGAGGCGTGGTGAGCGGCCTCGGCAAGGGCGTCACGGCCAGCAGCATCGGCGTCGTGCTGAAGGCCTGCGGTCTCCGCGTCACCTCCATTAAAATCGGTATGAGATAGCATTTTATTGCCTTATTTGGTTGTTATTCTGGTGCTAGGACTGTGATGATATGAGTTCTAGTGATTTCACACAGTTTGGTATGTAAAATTTGCTTCATATACGTAGTTTTGCTTAATTATTCATTTAGGAGTTTGTTTTTTGTGGATAAATTGATTTAGGCTTCTCTTTGTTTGAGTTGAATCGTTTTGGCTTCATATATTTGGCATCAGCTCAATCTGTTAAATTATTGTTAGTGTGTCCGATTTTATGTTTGTCATGCAAGATGAATTTGACTGGCGCGACTTGTTTTTTTGATGCTGCATATGATGTTTCTATGTCCGCAGATCCTTATTTGAATACAGATGCTGGTACAATGTCTCCTTTTGAGCATGGGGAGGTTTTTGTTCTCGATGATGGTGGAGAGGTGTTGCCATCCTTCTTTCTGTTGAAAATATTTTATTTAACATTAGGAATTACCATCGATGGAGCTATTATCTATATTTAACATTAGGAATTACCATCGATGGAGCTATTGTCTCAAACGATTTCATAACTTTTTAATAGGTGGATCTAGATTTAGGTAACTATGAGCGGTTTTTGGATGTGAGGCTAACAAGAGACAACAATATTACTACAGGAAAGATATATCAGGTACTTCACTATATTCCTATTGAATACATAATAGTTTATGTGCTTTAATTTCCGAGGTACTTATTTGGTGGTTTCTTTGTTAGTCCGTCCTTGAGAAGGAACGGAGAGGGGATTATCTTGGGAAGACCGTACAGGTGATTCAAAACTTATAGAAAATTGCCCTCCTTTGTAAGAACAACGGGACATATCTTTTTTTTTTTTTAGTTTTTTACTTTTATTTTGTACTTTATGCAGGTGGTCCCGCACATTACTGATGCTATTAAGAATTGGATTGAATCTGTGTCTATAATTCCTGTGGATGGAAAAGAAGGCCCTGCAGATGTTTGTGTTATTGAACTTGGAGGGACTGTTGGTAAGTTGTTCTCTGGATAGATTACTTCTGCCTCAAGACATTTAAAACTTCTCAATGTTTACATTTGGTTTTGCTCAATAGCCTATACCTCACTTTATCAGGTGATATAGAGTCAATGCCTTTCATTGAAGCTCTGAGGCAGCTACTCTTCTCAGTTGGTAAGGTTGCGTTTTATTATCTACATCCGGAAACAGGAGATGGCTGTTTCCTTAGCTTCCTTCTTTGATTTCTTTAGGTCCTTTCTTGGTGTTTTCTGGGCAGTGTAGTATATAGAGATTTTTACAGGTTCTTTATTTCAGTTGTTTGAGCTCAATCTTCTTCTTGATTTTCTATTACTATGAAAATAGTTATGTTCAAGCCTAATGTTTCATTTTTTCTATATTTAATTTAACTCTTTTTTACGTAGGACAAAATAATTTCTGCCTGATTCATGTCAGCCTCATACCCGTTCTTGGCGTTGTTGGTGAGCAAGTATGTTCTCTACCTCATATTTTGAATTAATTTTTTTTATCGTATATACATAATGAGGATATGTGCTTTGATCGAGCACGATGGCGACATGTGATCCATAACTTTTTTTCCTGTCCATGTTAATGTCTGCAGAAAACAAAACCCACACAGCATAGTGTGCGAGAACTGAGAGCTCTAGGCTTGACTCCTCATTTTCTGGCTTGCCGATCGACCGAGGTACTTTGTCTAATAAGACACGGATTATTTTGTCTTTCTCCATGGTCTTTTGATTGATCACGAATACCTTCCCCATGTAATACTCTTTAGCTGTGTGGTATTATCTTGGAGCATCACCATTTTGTCAATGGTGGAAAGTTTAATGTTGGTTTTGTTTTATATTGCAGCCGCTGTTGGAAAATACCAGGCAGAAATTGTCACAGTTCTGCCACGTGCCGGCAAGTTGTTACAACTTATGCTATGCCTCGTTTGAACTGTACTTATGGTTACTTTTGTTTCGTTATTGTCAGTTTTCATTTTTAGTTTTATGGTTCTGAATGTAGGTTGGCAATATTCTTAATATCCATGATGTTCCCAACATTTGGCACATTCCTCTTCTGCTTCGAGTGAGTATGACATTACCTACGAAACCGTATGCTACCATTTGTATGTTGATATTTTCATGGTTTAACTAAGTATCATACCCTTGTTCCAGAATCAAAATGCACATGATGCCATTCTAAGACATCTGGATTTACTGAAGTGAGTTGTATTCTGCGCTTCTATCATAATCATCTCACTTATCATTTGCATCATTTGTCATTTTCTTGGAACACTTAAATTGTTTAAGCAATAACAATTTTGTTTTTGATGCTTAATGTGGATCATAATTAAATCTAAAATGATGTATATTGCCAATACTCAAAATGCATAAGAAAAAATGTGCATGGGTGCTTTTCTTGACATGTAAACTTTCTTTCCAGTGTAGCCAGTGCTCCTAATTTGCAAGAATGGACCGACAGAGCTGAGACTTTCGACAACCTAACAGACCCTGTCAGTAGCGAAACCTCTTTAGTAAACTCTGCATAATGTCTTGCTGGAAATCAGTTGTGACTAGTGATAGTTTCTTGTTGCTTTGCCAGGTACGAATTGCAATGGTTGGGAAGTATGTTGGAATGGCAGATTCCTATTTATCTGTTGTGAAGGTGAAAAATCTTCTATCTGGTTCCTCTATAAAGCTTTTGGAGTCTTGGATAGAATGTGTTCACTGTTCAATACAATTTCTTTTCCAGAGAATATTGGGTTTTCTAATTCTATTATAATCATATTTCAAAGGAATGTAAATTTGTTTAGCATTATATCCCATTCCCATGTTAGAATTGAACTTGCCTAATATAATGCAACATTTATTCTCTGACATTAGTTCACAATTAACTTGATCTGATGGTGTTGATTGCTTAATGATTAACTCTCCACCCCTTCCATGCAGGCCCTTTTGCATGCTTGCATAGCATGTTCTTTGAAGCCTGCGATTGATTGGATTGCAGCTTCGGATCTTGAGGATGAAAGCGCAATATCTGTATGGATTTTTTTATCTGTAACATATGTTGTATTTACTCATATGTGGGTCTAGGAAGCATAGTCATAAAGTCAACCCGTTTTTTTTTTTTTTAATGCAGACAC